GTTCATATCCCACCTGTTTTTTCCAGCATGTGGATCCCTGCAGGAGCATTGCTCCTGCACTCTCTGGTGACATCCCTGGAAAAATGGGAAAAATCATGTATGCAATCAACTTGATGGTCCTCTCATTTTTCCTCGTAATTCAGAGGCATAGGGTGATGATTGATTCAAATGAGTCATCAAAATGGTTCTGGCATTTTTGCCAGGATCTCCAGCATTTGAAGCATTACACACCCAACCAGGGGTTCCTGAGAGCAGGAGCTGCTGCCTAAAATGTGTTAATCAATGTAGGCTTGCAGAAGCGATGAGCTACATCAAAAGACAAATGTTTAATAATGAACCCAGAAAGGTTGTTCAAAGGACAAGTATGCAGCTACATGGTGGAAAGAAAAATGGTTCATCCCTGCCCCTGACAGTGTCTCTTGACATTACCAGTGTTCTCCTGAAAATCTATTTATTCAGCTCCTTTTCTAGCTCTCACTTACTGATTAAACACACTGCTGCTCACAGGAATTGCAGCTTTTGTTTGCTGAGGTTTGCTAGCATTTGTTATAAGGCTTACAGTGAAGGGGCGAGTTGGAGAGGACATGACAGGAGTCTCTGTGAAAGCAGGACATTAAAGTCACAAGTTTGAGTTGTTAGTTCTGACATGCAGGTTTTTAAAGTGTTATCACTGGTTCACTGATGAGTTTTTCCTTCCTACCTCAGCCCCTGGCTATTTAGTGTAGGGTGCATTAACAAAGCAAGTTGATCCTCTTGGAGTGGTTAATTCTTTTGCCTCAGTCGTAGATTCTTGCATTTGTAAAGGAATTAGAATTATTTCAGTAATAACAGAGACACTGCGGAGTTTCTGCATGATTAGTTCAAATCATCTGTGGCTGACCTCTGCCTATACCTGTCTTGCCATAAGTTTCCTTACTTCTGCTGACAGCATTTTTCTGTCCAAGATAGATATCTTTTTCTTCTTTTTTTTTTTTTTTTTTTTTTTCTTTTTTTTCTGTTTGATGTATGAGCATTGTCTGACACTCTCACACTCTCAAAAATGTCCTGGAGTTTTGTTACCTGGCTGTAGCTCATCTGTTATGTGCCACAGGATAAGAGAGATGCCCTTTGGGTAGGGGACCATGAGGTGTTTTGGACAGGAGGTTTAAACAGTGCCTAACCTCTGACAGCTTAGGCAACTGCAGTGCTAATACTGAACAACAGCAGTGACCGGGGTCCTCGTCACAGACGCTTTCTCTGTCCAATATAATAGGAAATAAAAAATCAAAGTGTCTATTACAGTGTGTTCTATCAGAAGTAACTTCCTATATAGTTATAGAGATACAAGGGTACTTCATTTTCTCTGTAGTGAAACTCATGCATTTTTGAACAATTACGCTGAAGAAAAAAATCTCACTCTGTCACAAGACCTGTAAAGTGCTTTCCCACAACACATATACATGGTAAGCTAAGAGAAAGAGCTGTCAAACATCAAATTAGATAGCAATGTGGAAAACTTATCTTTCAATGTGATATCCACAGTGGTCTCTCAAACATTCTCTTTCCTTCTGTGTGTAAAATAGTTCCTTTGGGCCCTTTCAATTCCCACTGAAGGCTTTGAGAGATCTTTTCCATATTCTAGACAAATATTCATCTCACTCCTTTAATCCCCTGTAGCACAGAACAGCGGCTTTTGGAGATGTCAATACTTTCCTGTGTCTTTCTGTAGCTCTCAAAATGCTACTTTGACAGCTTCATTGTTTGAACTGGCTCTTCAGATTGATGTGTGATTTTTTTTTTTTTTTTTTTTTAGCCATTTTTTAACTTAAAAAATATGTAACTGATAGGTTGGAGAGAAGTACAATTTTATTCCTAAATCAAAGGGGTGTGCATGGTATAAAGAAAAAACACCATCATGGGACCAGAAATGCTCGCACTGTGGTTTTTGAATGCAGAAGCACTGCAAAATTTTGCTTGAGCTTCCAGAGCCTGATGTATTACCTTTATCAGCTTGGAGGGGACTCTGCCCATGAGATAAAGCACTTAATGTTTTTAAATGGCTCTTTTTGGACCCACGCAATCACTGTCACTGCCAGTGTTTCAATTTACAATCAGAGATACCTTGCCCTTCTGCACAGCCCCGGCCACACTAGTCTTGTTGTAAAGCTTTCTTCCTTTCTCTTCTTCTGGGATGCAGCACAGGAGCATCCACAGTTTGCCCTTAAAAGCCTCCTAGCCTCATTTTCCAGTACTGAAGAAAGGAAAATAGCATCTAATGGGAACTTTGAAAAAGCACTGTAGCATTTAGACCGCTGAAATTCAATATACTGTATCACCATTTTTCATTACACTTTGAAGCATTTTGCTTTGACGCTTTTGTCTCAAACTCTGTTCTCTTCTGTGCCTATGACACTAAGCAAAGTATTAGTGTAATCTTTAACTTGGTGTCAGTGCCCATTCCCAGAGAAGAGAGAAAGTCAAATGGCTCTGTAATGTCACTGATGAGATCTAAGATCCATTTCTGAAATTTTGACAGTGAGGATTGGCATTGTCCAAGGGTCACTGTGTATTTCATTAATATCTGATGGAGTAAACACAGTGAAAAACTTTACTGCTTGCTGTAAGCAAATAACAGATCAAAACTCATTCATGCTCTTATCTTTCTTACCCTGATCTTATTTTTCCCTCATTTTTGTAATAATCAGGGTAAGATGAACACCATCAAGGCTCTATGGCATGCTGCCAATCTTTATTGTCTTGTACAAAAAAAATTGTTTCAATGAACTGGGTTTTATGGCAATTCCTTCTCAATTTTCCTATATTTGTATTTTCACTGTAGCTGTTCCCAGACAGAATGCAAAAATGAACAGATTAAAATGTCTGATGAATTCTCTGAAATGCCAACCAGCAAAAGTCTTTGACTGTCTCATTGCCAAGGACAACTGAATTTCTTTGTCTGATTCAATTTTCACAATGCAGTGAACAATTACAAGAGCAGGAGGAAGCCAGGCTGTTGCTTTGGCCCTTCATCTCAGAAGTCTGCACATCTACCATCATAATTTTCCTTTCCATGACTTGCTCTAATTGTTGTTGAATTCATCATATCTGAAAATAAAATTTACAAAGAGAATCAATTCTATGTCTAGTGCCCTTCCACTTCATCTTTCTGTCCTTTTATCAGAAATATAATAATCCCTAGCAGCATTAGCACAGATATAAACACTGGACATCAGGAAATGCCTCCTTACAATATTGCTGTCGTCACCTTAACCTTAAATTTTAAATGCTCTGAGGGACTAGGGCTGATGATTTATAGATTATCCTTCTTGAAAGCTTTCTTTTTCTGAAAGCAGCTTAAAAGGAACCATATTAAAATGTTAATATTTCCAGGAAAAAAATCTAAAGACAAAAGAGGTTAAAAGTCCTTATGAAATATCTTCACTCTGATTTATTCAGTGGAAGGGGTAAAATCTTATTTCTTATTTTTTTTCTTTTTGAGAAATGCAGGCTCCAAAGACTAATTCATCTGAAGAAGTACATTTTAAATAGCTGCTAATGTGCTGTTAAAGAAGAAAATGCACTATTTCATGGCAATCCTAATTACTGTGCAACTGTATTTCATTCTGCACAAGCAATGAACCGACCATTTACATTCACAGTTTTGTTATTATGCAAACATCTAGAGTCCATTAAATTCCTGATTTGATCATCGCTTCATAGATAGCGAAGCTGAACACACAGTTACAGTTTTCTCTATCTTTGAGTCCCAGTAAAACTACAGACTACAGCTGAACCCCCCCCCAGCTGGCTGCAGCTTGAGCGGCTGGAGCAGGGCAATGGGGCAGCTGCCGGGCTGGGGCAACAGCCACCACAAAGCCCCTAGCAGCCTCTGCTTTCCTCCTCTTTTTCCGTCTCTACCCCCTTCATCTTCCCCCTCAGCTCTAGAAAGTTCTGCTTTTTGATATTGTGGAGGGTTTAACGTTTCCCTCCTAAGAACATTTATTCAGCCACAGAACTCATAAATGAAACACTCACTTCTGCTAATGCAATCAGCTACATTAGCAACATATTTATTTTTCATCTTTTCTTACAGATATTTTGCTTTGTAATTATCTTCCTCTGTGATTAAAGATAGTCACATTCTAAATTCAATCACCCTGAAGAACAATATGAAGTAAAGAAGTTTAATATTTTATTATAAAACTCTTCTGTGGGATCCAGTGGTGCTGTAATTTTACCATTAAGAAATTGGCCTTTTCAGTTGCCTGCTGCTCACCATTCCTTTTTCCTCTGAACTATAAGCTGAAGAAGAGTCTCAGTTACAGGATACAAAACATGTACTTTTTGTACCAGAGCACCACAGCTTTTTCTTCTGCTTTGAAATTTGTCTTTTTGTCCAATCAGGAAAGAATGAGCTGTCATTTTTTGAAAAGTACTCTGAGAGAAAGTATTTAAAGTAGCAAAATACCAGCCAGACCTCTTATAGTTTACAGGAGAAGGAGAACTGTGGAGAATGGTTCACTTTGGGTCCACAGGTAGTGAATAGAACAGTAACATAAGGCTGTCTTGAATTACTATGTCAATGGCCTATGTCTTTAGCAAGTTATGAGAGGTTTTGTTCAGCTTGACATCAAAGTGCCTCTCTGTTTCTGAATTCTGATTCTTTTCTGAATCTCAATAGAGACAGTCAATAGAGTGTCTTACCTCAAGAGGTGTCTTGCCCACAGAGACATTTTGTCAATGCTGATCACTGATGGATGTTGGGTTTTGGTCTAGATAATCTGCTGTCTAACAAAACTTTTATCTAAAGAAGACCACAAGCAGAACTGAAATACATTCTGCCAGCACCTGGGGAATTGGGGTTTCTGATTTACAGTTTTCTGTTTGTGATACCATAAGCTATGTTGGAAAACAAAGATGTGTCCTGTCTTGTACCACTGGAAAGTTCAGCAGGTTGTTCACCAAAATCTCATCCTTTCCAGACAATTCTACTGATACTTACATTTCTGTTTCTCTTACAGTTTGTTGCTCACCCCAACTGCCAGCAGCAACTGCTCACCATGTGGTATGAAAACCTCTCAGGCTTACGGCAGCAATCTATAGCTGTGAAGTTCTTGGCTGTTTTTGGGGTCTCCATTGGCCTGCCCTTCCTTGCCATAGCCTACTGGATCGCTCCCTGCAGCAAGGTACAAACTCATTAAGGTGCATGGGTTTTATGGACATTTCTATACAGGGCTTGGAATGAAGTCACACATTTTCCTGTAATGTTTCTGGGGAATGATTCATGTTGTCCTCTAAGATTGCCCCAGAGGAGAGCAAGCTTGAGGTGTTGTTTGATATACGCAAATAGCACAATTAGACATTGTTTAAGGTTCATCTTTTTGAAGAGGATGAGAGTGAGTAACAAGAAAAGGATAGGAACGAGAAATGGATAGGAGATAACAACATGGGAGTGGGGTAAAGAAAGACAAGAAAATGGAACCAAATGAGAAACAAAAATGGGAAATAACTAAAGGAGAAGATTTTTGTTGCTCTTTTAGTTAACTCTGATGCTTAAACTCTCATTCCTTTTATGTACTTTTTGTTGTAGATCCCTCCCTTCTCCAGGGCTCCTTTCTTCCCTTTCCTTCCTCTTTCTGATCTTGTATTTTTAGTTAGTGGAACAATATTATGGCACACATGCCTGAAACTCTGGCAAGCCTCAGGGTACTGCTTAGTGCTGCAGAGAAGACTAGACTTAATCATACAATCTTTATGGTTTTGAGGGAAAAGATGATGAAACTTGGAAAACTGTCATGTACCTAAATACATCTATGCTATGTCTCACAGTATCAGATGGAGCCAAGACCTAGAGGTCAAAGGACCAGAGCCAACTATTAGCTCAGATAAAAGTTTGAGTGGTCTGTGGTATGAAATAGATAGTGAGGTTTCCATTCTGAAACAGTATCTTCAAACAAGTGGAGATAAATAGGTGTGTGGCTGAGTGATAAACATCTTTTTCACTACTCTTGCCACAGAAGATAGGGGTGTCAGGGGAAAAGATCATTCCACATTCAGCAATAGCCAGAAATATCATCCATTACAAGGTAGAGGTCTTCAGCAGGAGGCTTATCAGAAGTACTTAAATTTGACCAAAATGACCCCTGACATTGGTAATATATTCAGTCTTGAAAGCATCTCCTCCCATTTCCTTTAAAAGCCAGTGAGGAATCCTTTCTAAATTTGTCGAGCCGAAAAAATTATAGATTCATGGATGGGTATTGAGGAAAGACTATAATTTGAAAAGATTTATGTTAGTGCAACCAGACAAACCTTTTGAAAACAGCCTTCCAGAACATCTGAGATAATAAAACATGGTTAAGGCTTGGTGTTGTCCAAAATATCTCCAAGAAATGTACTTTCTCTTAGAGTATTTGAGAACGTAACTCACTTTTCTCAAGGTTTGTATCAACACAAAACCCCACAGATTTTATCAATACTGGACAGGACTCTGGAGTTTCACACAGAGAAGTGCATGTGAAGGCTGGATTGTGTAGTGGGTGGTTTTGGTTAGGTCATAGAGGGAATTCACATGTGGAATTACCACGATGATTCTATTATGTCAGATCCCAGTCTGGCAGGGATTTATGAAGCTGTTTAATTTCCTCCACCTCTGTTGAGTATGATGGGAGTTGGAACACCAGCCAACAGTAATATTTGTGGTGTATTCTCAGAATTACAGGGGTTGCATTTGAATATAGCAATAGGTGGGGAGAAGACTAGAAATAGGTGGAGAATTTAAACGAAAAACATAAAAACCAAGGGGGGAAAAATGAGCCAAAAAATTCAAAATAAATCAGTTTTACAGCAGAAATAAGAAATGATTGAAAAGGTTATTTGGTTTTAATTTCTTGAGGAAGGTTTATTAAAATTTTTAAGAGATTGAGAGAGGGGAACATAACTTTTCATTGACTGTGATTTCATTACACTAAAACTTTTGTGCATTCTAATTTTTCAATGTCCCTTTCTTTTTACTCCACTTCAGGCTGTGGAAAACCATACATAAACTTCTATCATAAAGTCAGATTGAAAGTTCTTTCAGACAGGAATTTTCTTCTAATGTATGGGTTTGCATTGATCAGAACAATGTAGTCTTGATTTTTGACTGGGGTCTGTGATAAAAATAACTGAATAATGAATGCATTTTTCCCCCAGGAATTGGTAGCTCACCCAAAATCATTACTAGGTTTAATGGCTGAGGGTTGATTCATGAGCCTTGTATCCTCTCACAGTGTTACTGTAGACCATTTTACACAGGCAGCGTATCTGCTGGAAAGATGGTGATGTTAACAAAAGATTTGCGTGTGATGCTCTGAGCAGCCCAGTTTTGTCCTGGTCAATTTTACAAATGTTTTGTTTGGTTTTAAGTTATGGAAACAATCTTGATGTTACACAGCTGGGTAATGAAATAATTTTTCTATAGTAGCAATCAGTTAAGACATTTAACTTAAATCAAATCAGGCCTGTCTTAAAAGACACATGGATACCCAGGCATGTGTTATAAACTCATTTCTGGACTAAGACAGTGACAAAAATCAAGGAAAGCTCTGTAATTTGGAATACTGCTTATAGGAGCTGTATTTCATGTATGATAATAGAGTAATTCATACCTCAAAATAATTCCTTCACCGATGTATTTTTAGCAAGAAATAGGTTTTCAAGCCTTTATTTCCTAGCAGAAAATATTCTTTAATAAAGCTCTGCAGGGTTAGAATATACCATACCAAATATCACCCTTGAAAATTTGGTAAATAGTATTAATGAAAGTTTGCAGCTGAACTCTTAAGTCTTCTTTTGCATTCAGTTACACAGAACTGTCCTTATTAAAACTAAATTTAGTGTCAGTTGTAAATTCACCTCTGGATGTACTGAGTGTTGACAGGACACACAGAGTGTAAGTCCATCCTATCCTGAAATATTTGTGTTGACTCATCCATCTCATGAAGGTCATGCCTCTGAAACGAACTGTTGCTTTATATGTTGGTGTCCAAAACTTGTTTCACTGGTGATCAAAAGACAACATAAGAAATAGAATGGAAAAACTGCACAGTCTGCTCCCCAAAAATATAATGACAAGTGCAAGTGGGACTGTTTGGACTGTCTGCAGAAATTCAAGAAGTATTTTCCTTTTTCTCTGGCCGGTTGAAGTGCACATTCAAACCTTACAATACTAACAGCGATCGTTTATACACAACTCTCATTGCTGGGGTTGTTCTCTGGCTTTCACGTAGCTTTCCTAGGAATTTATGGACCGTAGTTCCTGCTCTGACAGACTCAGCGTCATTTAAGCACTAGAACTTTAATGGTAATAGTTCACTCCAACTAAAGCTGTGTCTGTACCTTTTTACTCTGGGTATTTTCCTCCCAGGTTAAGCTACATAAAATTTCTACAACAATATTCTTCATGTTTCTGCTATGAGCATAGTACTGAAAATAGTAATGGCTTTTTTCGTTATGATGTTTCTATGTTTATTTGTTCATTCCTCTTGGAGTAGAGATTAATTTGCATTTGGGAAACTTTGTTTCAATATCACATTTTATATATTTTTGTTTTGACATGTCTGCAAGCTTCATTATTTTCCTATAATACAGATAGGATACTAAGTCATGAAATAAGCTACTCTCTTAAGAATGAACTTTTCTATTCACACACTGTCAGTGTTTCTGTCTTAACAGTGATAGCCAGTCACTTCCCTGAGATTCTGATTTGATGAAAGATGATATTTTGATTTAAAATAATAATTGAGAAATTTGTACATCCAAGTAGCTATATACCTTGAGTTTAACTGTATCATGTTTCTTGAAGAATATATCTTATTGTCTGGAGGAATTGACACTTCATTGATTTTTTTTTACAGAATATTCTAGTCAACACTTTCACCTCCTGTAGCTCTTGGATAAAAATCAGATTTCTGAGGAAATGTGAGACATCAGCTCAATAAAAAATTTGTAAGCTTTCCACAGTAATAGAGGGGATAAAATGCTGGTGCAACGCTGACTAAATACAGACTTGTGTTAAATCAGTAGAGAACTAAGTGAAATTATCCACAGAATTCATTTGGTTCTGTAATACACGGGATTATTTCTCTGATTAGTGAGGCTGTTCTACTTTAAACTTAAGTTTCTTTTCAAGTTTCTGTAGACAACAGAAAAAGCCTAGTTATTTGGAGAGGATCCATAGTTCAATAGACAGTGTTTTTTCTCTTTTAATTAATTCAGTGTAGAAGAGTCTTCTACAGATTGCAAATGCACTTCAGATTTTTTTTGGTAGGGCCCCATATGCCCATAGTTGTTCCACTTCACTCTTGCAATTTGAGCTCTCTCAGACATGTCATATGAGGAAAATGCCTGACATTATTACTGTATAGGACATTGTTCTAACATAACCCACCACCCCAACAGCTCTGTACTGGAAATATAAGTAAAAAAATGTAAATCTACCCAACACCATATATAAAAATCTATTGAGAACTAACAGTACACCAAGGCTTAGAGCAGAGAAGCAAATCATCATCACAAGTGTTGGGATTGGTTTTAGCACACTTCATTTACTCCTACATCTGCCATAATATTCCTAGACAAGATCAAAGAAACTTTGGGTTTGATTGAGTGCAATATCTACTAACTTAAACACATCCTTATTGACCTCAGAAAAAAGCAAGCATGTTAATAAGGTTGTGGGGATAGAGCAGATTTTTTTGATTTTCTTTATTAGAAAGTCTTTCTGATATTTTTAAACATGCAAATTTTCCAATAAGGTTTATTATTCTGTCAACTTAATAAAAGATTTATTTGATATTTTAAAAATTCAGAGAAAAAAAAATAAGAATCAGAATCATAAAGATTCCTTTAAATTTCTGCTAGGCCTAAAGAGTCCTGCTTTTACAATATTTCCTGCTCTGCAGTGACCAGAGATCTGGGCTCCTTTGAACAAAACTGTTGTTGGAGATAAGTAAGAAAATGAGGAATTTCATTTTTTCAGTCCTTTTTAATATTTTCTATTAATTTTTATGGCCAAGTCAATAGATATTAAGGAAACTTTAAGGATGCCTCATCATCAAGGGAAATGAATCAATGAGTAATATGCTGCAAAAAAATAAATCCCATTTGCTTTGAGGGGGATTTGGAAAGGCCACATACAGGGTGGCACTTCCATTGCTGTCTATTGTGTCCAACACCACAGGCATCAGTCCTTGTGCTCCTAAAAATGCTTCTACTCTGACATCTTTCTAGAGTAATGTTTTCTTAGATCACAGAAAATGTAAAATGAAAAGAGTGTTATTTAAATTAATTAACAAAGTAAGCTTTTCAAGAAGAATGGAACAAATATTAGCTATAATGAACAAGTCTGCTGCTCTGATTCTCTGCTTAATGTCTTGAAATAAATCCTTGTGTTCTGGGGAGTGAATCTCCAGCTTTTGTACTAATTATGAGAGAAGACTATCATACCAAAGCTTATTAAAAGCATTACTAAAGAATCTTTAAATGGAAGGCTATTTCCTACACATCGTTAATGAACCAAAAATTCAGCATTAATAAAAACTCTAATATACAACAACTATATAAAAATGAGAAGTGGGCTCATTACTAGGATTTACATTGACACACATAAGTACATTCATATGACACACAAACATGTCTCATATAAATGTTCTGTCTCTTCATTTTCCACTTACCATATGGCCAGGACAATTATATTTGGGTATAAAGGAGTAACATAAGATACTGCCATGCATAGGAAATTATCCAAAGGGCCTAATTTGAACTGCAATGTGTCATGTCTAGTAATAGCAGAGAAAAACTTGAACAAATCTAAAGCCTGTTTATTTAATGATCTGGAATTTATTTTTGAATCTTTTTCACCTTGGGCAAATGGTTCAAACTTTTATAGGAAAAAAACATGCAGGGGGTGGATAAGGGGAAAAAAAAAAAAAATCTTATGTCTTGTGTGTGTTTCATTGCAGTTGGGACGGACCCTCCGAAGTCCTTTTATGAAGTTTGTGGCACATGCAGTTTCTTTCACAATCTTCCTTGGACTGTTAGTAGTGAATGCTTCAGATCGGTTTGAAGGAGTGAAAAATCTTCCAAATGAGACCATCACAGATCATCCAAAACAAATATTTAGAGTGAAAACAACTCAGTTCTCATGGACAGAATTGCTGATCATGAAGTGGGTATTGGGTAAGCAAAATCAAAATGTCTACAAGTCCTCCAGGGAAATTCACATTACTAGGAATAGACAGTGACAAGACAAAGGAAAAAAAAAAAAAAAAAAACAAACAAACAAAAAAAACCCAAACAAACAAACAAACAAAAAAAAACCACAACCAGCCAACAAAACAAACAAAAAAAAAGCAACCTTACCCTTCCCCAAAAAAATACCAAAAGCCCACCATGAGGTTAATTAGAGGTTGATGGCAGTATTTTGATTAAAACAGGATCAAAGAAGACTTTGATCTTGGTCACTGCTTTTGAAAATATTGAATGATGCTTAACAAATTCTCACTTTCCTGGTTTTTCACTTTCCATGGTGAATGCTATACTTGTTCTCTGTTGTTTGAGTTATTGCATCTTAATGAGGGTAATATTGTCATAGAAACTTATAGCTTCACTACAGGACATTGCTCTACCTAAAGTGAGGAGAAAGAAGTGTGTCCACTGGGACATGAGTGACCACCAGCCTGTTTTATTACCCTGCCATGAGATTCTATTATAATTCACTGAATCTCAGTTTCTTCATGTGCAAAATGGGTATATTTTTTATTTACTTTTTTTGTAATGCACTCTGAGATCTAATGATAAAAACTACTAGGTATATAAGAGTTGGATGTTATGAAGTTCATAGTGTGGAATTGTTACTGGTGAGAGGACAGCACAACATTTGAATCTTTTTAAAGACATTAAGTCGTCCAACAATTATAAAATAGGGATTCATGTGGATGAACACTTCAAGTGCAAAAGTATGCCACGTGTACAAGTAAAACTTCCATGGAGATTTAGGCAAGTTCAAATGTATTACTTTTCCTACAGGCATAATTTATTCCTGGCAGGTTATCTACCTTGAACCACTAATCTAAACAAGCTCAGAAGGATTTATTGGGAAATCGAGCTTATCAACTCTGCAGAATCTTTGTCTACCTCTTCTGTATCTATTTTTACTCACCACCATGATTTTGATTCTTTTCTTGCAGCAAATATTTCCACTGTCCCATAAGTACTGATGGCATTAAAACCCCCTGAAAAATAGGATAGGGCTGTTCTATCTGATGACTTCCTGGACACCATTTCTTTGTTCCTTGTCCCCACAATAATCAGAATCCCATACAGGATATTAGGCTAGAAAATACTGAATAGATGCCAGACTGGATAGAGTAAGTCTGTAAGATACATTTTAAAAATTATATTAAAGCAGTTGGACAAGATGATTAGATTTTTAGACTAGGTATTCTTTTCTCATAGACAGTAAGTATCTGTCTGCCTAGTGAGTTCCTGAGAGATGAAGAAGAAAACATTTCATTTAAAGCAAAGGTTTTCACTTTTCTGGGAGAAGAAAGGTGATTCATTGTACAGACTTCTGAATATAATGAGATTTTCTAATGACTGCCTACATCAGCACTGACAATCTTCTCTGGCCATTCTACCTGTCTGCCTACATAAAACTTCAAATAATTTTTCAGCAATGCTAAGGTGAAAGTTTGGTGCATGTGGCCTGCAGACAGGTAGCATGGAGGCTTGGGCACTTGTTGAGCCCCGTATGTGACCCTGAACTTTAAGGACTCTAAAAGCACTAAGTGTGAGGGACTGCCCAGCCTTTTGGTGCAAAAATCTTATAGGTATTATAAATATGTATATGTAAGTAGAAATATAATTAAATAAAAGTAAATGCTATAGATAAATATCACAAGTACAGTTGCCAAGACATGCTTTTCCAAAGAGGCAAATGTAAGTCGACAGTAAGTATATGTTAAAGTATAATAAAAGTGACCCTTGTGTACTAAATATACATAGATATATCTAAGTCTATTTGGCAACACCCGCAATTTCTGTCTTCAAACTCAACAGCGTAGGTGGGTTACCTGCATTTTGATTTGTATTATAAGCACAAAGTGTAATTTTATTTATTCTCAACTTGTAAATCCCTTCCTTCCTTTTCTGTTCTTTCTCTTTTCTCCTTCATACTATGGCAGCAATGATGAATGCTGATGACACATTACTTGTTCCAACCATAGCAGACCATTTTTGAGAAATTAGTTTACAGGTCCCTGATCTTGGTTCTTTTTTGGGGAGAAAATTGGCTGTCTGAGTTATCTGTCTATCAACCATAAAATTATGATACAGGTTCAGAATAGCATTTTTCAAGAATAATGTGATACATTAGCATAGCATAATGTGGCCAAAAGTGAGTACAACCTGTGATAGCAGTCCCTACAGTTAATCTTGCTGGAGATATGAAATTTGATCCACACGTATATATTTTAAGAGAAAACTATCAGTAGGCGAATTTCAGACTGTAATTATGCGAAAAGATACCATTGCCATCTCCTGCTCCCAACTATTTGTAATGCAGGTGAGTAATGGAATAAACCTAGCAGAGGCAAAGACTTTCAGCCAGGCAAGCACTTCATCCTGCTCCAAAAATCCACATCAGTACAACTCCAAGAACCTGCCTGGAGATTCTAGGGCCATAGAGGTCACAGGTCTAGCTGTGCCTTGGCCAACGGTGGTATTGATAGCTTAGTTTTCCTTTTTCTCTCAAATCCTTCCCCGTGCACAAGAACTGACAGTGGCAGTTCTTCATTCCTCCACCCTCAGATTGACACTGACTTGGTTTCTTCCTTACAACCCAGTCTTCAACTGAGCTTCTTGGCACACAATGTGCTTCCAGGAATCTCTGAAGTAGCCAAGCAAATGCATTTACATGCCACATCACAAGAGTTTCCAGCAAAGAGGATGAAGAAGGGTTCACAAAAAGGACAAAGTTATAGGAGGCCACATGGAAATTGGCAGGCACTGCTCCAGCTTGATTAAATGTGAATTTTGCTGCTGCTATGGAAACAAGATTGGATAGAGTGCAGGAAATATTTATCAGTGGGTTAAATATTTCAATATTTTAGCTATTCAGAAGCAAGCTTTTTGGACTGGAGCCCTGCTGTGTTTGAAAGTTGGGCAAGTTGATGAATTTCACCTGAGTTCTTGGCTCCAGTTTGTCCATTGAATTCACCTGTCCTCAGAACTCCTCAGTAGAACACAGATGTCAAAATGTTTGAATTTTCTCGGTTTGGAATTTAGGTTTATCTAATTCTGTTGTCAGAAAGATCCTGAATCCAGGCTAAACTCAGGGTTTTCAGAATTCAGTGTATGGAAATTCGTTATTATTTAATATATAAAACTTTAAGAAAAGTATTACAAGGACAGAACTTCTGTCTTACCTTTTCTCTAACCATACTGTATTTACTCGTGGATCAGATTTTCTCTTGCAAAGATCTATTTCTGTTCTGAAAATGGAGCCACCCTCTATTTTAGGGAAGGAGAAAAGCACCAGCAGAGCAAGCAATACCATCTTCAGTGGCAGAATTTAACAAGGAGATTTGGGGGAAAAAAGAGGAAATCTACATTTTTTTCCAAATAGATCAGCGGTAGTATTTTCTAATGTCTTCAGTACTTCTGAACTGTGCTTTCTCTAACATCACCAGAAATCTACTTTACCATTGACTCATATAGTGAAATTTTGAAATTTCTACCTCATACACACAGAAGGACAAAAAAGCTTAAAGTTTTTAATAATTTTTAAGAAAAGATGACACAAGCTGTTCTCAAGAAATTCAGTTGAATTGAAGAGTTATTTACATCAGTCTTAGAAGCCACTGTTAGCCAGGAAATGGGTCTGTCTGAATACAAAAAGCACCTTCTGTGTTTGCCGATTAAACGTGCTCTGTCCTTTCTGCAGGCATGATATGGTCAGAGTGCAAGGAGATCTGGGAAGAGGGTCCACGTGAATACGTGGTGCATCTCTGGAACCTGCTGGACTTCGGGATGCTGTCCATCTTTGTGGCATCGTTCACTGCCAGGTTCATGGCTTTTCTCAAAGCAACTGAAGCACAACAGTACGTAGATGAATACGTTCAAGATGATGACCTCAATAATGTCACCCTTCCCCCTGAGGTTGCTTACTTTACTTATGGTAAGATGCTTTTTGCTATCATGTTTTCTGTTCTTTCAGGCTAATATGTGGCAGTGCTGAAAGCAGCTTTCTTTTTGTGATATTTGTGTAGTTTTTTTCCTAATTAAACCAAAGTATTCATCTCAGATGTATCCATTCCAGCCATCTTCTTAAATAATCAGAAAAGAATTGAGATCTGAGCCTCATTCAACCCCTGATCTTGTGTTAAGGCTACATTCAGGCCAATCATGTCCTGATAAAATAGCTTGAGCAACAAATAATCAGGAACTGGGAGTGAGCAGGATATAATTTAAATTACAGATGAATGAACCTGCTTGATTTTCCAAATGTGATATGGGGGAAGATGTGTGAACAAACATAAGATCTGGAGCTGCATTTCTAACTGTTGGTGCACTCTGCACCTCTGTTACATCCAACACCTGTATAATGAAATACAAAGACCAATTACATTCATAAACTGCTGCTCCTCCAAGAGAAAATTTTTTTTTGAAAGATTACATAATCTGTGAATTGCATTTGGAGATGCAAACAGTAGCATAGCCTTGACAATACTATTTTTGATGGCTGAAATGGTTTTTCTTTGATGTTCACCAATGAATAGAGCTTTGCAGCCCAGTGTGGTGACTGGATTCATTGCATGCCTCTGCGAGATTTAGAGGTAACCCTGAGCAAAATCCATCGGGTCTGGAGGAGCACCATTTGCTCCCTAAGGTTGTAAGGTAGTTATTCTAGCCACGTGCTTGGGCTGGAGAGGAAGATCTGGGGCAGGAGACTTCATCCACTGTAGATGTGCACCATGCGGCACCAGAGACATGTGCCATGACCCCACACCAGGCTGCACAGCCACAGGCTCCCTGGTGGGTCCATGAGCTGGTAACACTAGATCAGCCTCTTGCTTGGTGTGTCCCATCTTGAAGGTAAGACTCTCTTTTCCTGCCTAGGCAAGCAAGAGGTCTTTGAAGTGATGGTGGTGTTTCCTTCACTCTGGTTTGCCACTGACCCATTTAAAGGGAGTCCATGATACAGAGGTGTAAAGGTCTGAAACAGAATGTCACAACCAGATTCTGTGAATTCTTCCATCTGCTGCTTTTCCTTTGGTTCAGATTACTGGAAATAATGCCTACATTTGCTGCTGTGTCCTTAAAGATGTCACATGTTTTAGCTCTGAGTCACAATCTTTTCATCAAGAAGCTCAGTCGATGCAAGGACACTTATAAGCTATATTAATATAAATGTTCAAATTTTCAGTAGATTAAATAAATGATGCATATCTGGCATCAACAAGAATCTTTTTATAGGAAAAATATTAGAGTGAATAGACTGCAAGAATTGGTTTTAATTTAAAGATAACATGAAGATGATACACTTGATAGTTATATCTGCTTTATCCAAACAAATCCTAACTTTCTTCACTAATGGTAGGGATAGAGAGACCAGTCTCCCTCATAAGTCCTTCCCAAATACTGACACGGTGCTGTGTATCCAAAGCTATAGCCAGACTCCACTGCATTGTGGTTTTGGTTCTCCATCTCAAGGACTTCAGATGGAGAAGGCACAGCACAGCTGATGTTCGACTAGGAAAAGGAAAATAACAAATTTGTTTAAAGCCATGCTATTTATTTACTGTGTGACTTTGATAAATCCCAGTCACCTGCTCATTTCTCATCTTTATCATGTGAAAAATACAACTAATTCTTCCCATCCATATTTGTACAGCACACTGAGGACTTCACTGACCAGTTAATACATACCTTTTGTTCTTTTTCCTTAACTCCTGGACAAAACCAAGATTCAGTCTTGAAAAGGGGTCATTTATCATCATAACTTCCATCTAACACTTTTTGTTACTAATACCTAGTGTACATGTATTGTTTTAGCCAGGAACAAGTGGCTTCCCTCGGATCCTCAGATCATTTCAGAAGGACTGTATGCAATAGCTGTGGTACTCAGCTTCTCCCGCATTGCTTACATTCTTCCAGCCAACGAAAGCTTCGGCCCCCTGCAGATCTCTTTGGGAAGGACTGTGAAGGATATCTTCAAGTTCATGGTCATCTTCATTATGGTGTTCCTGGCCTTCATGATTGGAATGTTCAACCTTTATTCTTACTACCTTGGTGCAAAATACAACCCCGCGTTTACAACGTGAGTACATCTGGAAAAGTGGCTGCTCTTGAAGGGCTCTAATCCGTTCTGGTCTGTTGTTGCTGCAAAGTCAGCCCAAATACTTTCTACTCCAGGCATGTGGAGAAGTCAAATCCAGACTTTGCCTCGGAAACACCACAGCCTCCAGGCCTGGTAGCCAGCTCAAGGCCTGAACACAGAGAGATGTGTAGTTCAGAAATGGTTATTTCTGGAAATCAGAATAACAGATCAGGAAAATATGTTGTGAGATGTACAGTTTAATAAATCCAGAGAAGTGGTGAAGAGGTTAGACCCAAGATGACTGTTTTTAAAACTGCAAGCCAAAATGTATATGAAATAAGAGAGGATTTTGCTTACATGATGTCTATTTTAGGATACCACCTGAGCGCAGCTGTGATTATTAGGTGCACATCTGCAGAGCCAGCTGCTAGTTCTGATGCTCAAAATAGCAAATGAACAGGATGCTTAGTCTGTGTTTCTTAAATACTGGCTGAGTACTTTTCAGCAGAGGCCATGTGAAAGCTGCACAGAGCATTATGCCAGGTCACTGGCCACACAGGACAGAGGGTCTGCCTGGGTCACGCTTACCTGCCAGTGTTCCCTGGGTGGCCCCACAGCCCTGTGGAGGTGTCTGTGCCAGAGGCCCTGTTTCCACCTTGTCAGGGATGTCAGGAAGACAAAGAGGTTGGCAAATGCTTCTGGAATGAGGTTCAGACTGAGGCTGCTTTTGAAAAGGGAAAGCCCACAACCCTTCAGAGGTAGCACAAAATGCAACCTTAATTCTTTGGGACCCCAGGAACCTAAGCTCTGACGCTGGGTGGGGAACAGCTGAGATTTTGAAGGAGCTTTCAGAGGAGGAGACATCCTGGTGCCCTGCTGTGTCTGAGAGACGTCCCATGCATCCCCATGAAAGCCTCCTCCCTTGCACTGCAATGTGGCACCAGCATACTACCATGGTAGTCAGCTTTGTGTCTCACAAAACCACCACGACCTGCCTTAGGGACACGGTGGAGACTTTCCTTCCCACACACCCGTCTGTGAGGGAAGAGGAAAGTTGGCATAATGTTTTCCCCTTACTGTGATCTGACTTCCAGGCAACCACGTCACACTAGTGATGCCTGAGCCCACGGTGTTTGCCAGATGCAGAGCAGACAGCAGCTGGCATTTGATGTGTTATTTCTTCAATGTGTCACACAGTGAGCTGGGAGCTTAGCTCGTAGCTTCTCTAGGACAAATGACCTTTTCAGCATCATTTCTGTCCTGCAAGTGGCTGTTTCCTTCCAAATGCATGAGAGTGAGTTTTACCACACCACCCTCTTGTGCAACATGTATCTTGTAACTTAATGTTTACTTTCTCTGATTAAACCAAGTATGCCTTCTAGACCTGGCCTGTAACCTCAGGATACATTTTAATGGAAGGATTTATGAAGCCAGGTGCAATTACATTTATCTGTGCTTGGTAGTAAGGTAGAAGAAAATGGAGTGTGTGGGATGTGACTTGCTTCTTAGTTGAAGAGAAGCAGATGCCCTTGAAGCTCAAGACTTAATGAGAAGTCGAGTCGATTCCATCCTTGTTTGCCCAGTGGCACAGTAACCCTCAGTTATGGTATCCCCCAGGCACGTGGCTAGAGCAGCCACTGACAAATTCCAGTTTCTGATGCAATGGCATGTGGTAACTCCCTCATTAGCATTCATTGCCTAAGGGATCTTCCAGTAGTTACTATCTTTTGAAAAAAATAACAGTCAATCTGACTAAAATGATGACTGCTCACTGGAGTAAAAATTACTTAAATGTCCGAAGGATGTCTGGATTGGGGAGTCTTGTCAAAAGGCAGTGCTCTTCTTTAACTTTAGCCTGGTGGCTACTTATCCTGGAGGGACTTCATGTTGTTAGGAAGCAAATTTTCCATGAGCATAATTTTTCCTTTTAAGAATTTGGAATAGATTTTAAATAGACTTACTTTCTTCTGATTATTTAAACACACAGGAGTGTCAAATGATGATCAGTGAAAATGAGCCCTTTCATCATATGAAACAAAGAGAATAGATTAACATTCATCCCAGAAATCCTTCTCAGACATCTTATTCGACAAGCTAGAAACCCTGAGGTATACAGGCTCAAATGATTTTAATAAGCTAGTGACATATTATATTGGCAGATGGGCAGCTACCAATTCTAGCAACATTTCCTTCTCTATTTTTTGTGAGCTGCCAGTGTGCCTTGCTGAACATGGCAGGCTCCTGCTGCCATTAACTTATTCATGAATGGAAGGAAAATTTCAATATTAGAGCAGAGTAAGTAACTGTAGTGAAAATTCACTGGGGCAAATAGAGATAACAGTTATTTTGGTGTCCTCATAACTGTTCTGTGACCTCAGTGACTTTGCTGAATGTACTTGCTCGTGGGTGTGTTTGTGACTTCTAATGATGGGTGAAATTTTACAGAAACCAAGTTTCATACTCAGAAATATGTCTATTCAACTATGGGACCTGTTTCTCAGAGATCACTTGGCTAATCATGACAGAAAAAGATCCATTGGATTTGTGCAGTAATTGACTGTGGCCAGTTTCAAAGTGGCCAGCTGAATTGTCAGCTCACTGAGTAGCCTCACTGAGAAACCTTAGACAAACAGGTACTCACTGAAATAACTTTGAATTACACATTCAAGAAAACCACAGCTTCCCAGGACAGTATGTAGGCAGAAAAAAAATGTGCATTTGCCCTGATAACACTCAGAGGGAATTGCTTGCTTAGTTCTAATGATAATAATCAGTGGTTGGTGTAACTTAGCTTTCACCTTCCCTTCCTATTGCATTTTTGAAATCATGTGCTCTGTTATGCCTGTGTTGCTATCTACAGAGTAAGCACATAGCACCCCAGTGGCCTCTGAACTGAGTTATCATGCAAAGGTTCTGTCATTTCCATTTTAATGTTCTGGATGCAAAGGAAATAAAGATAGAGTGGACTTTACTTCACATAGTAAAATATACAGATTATTTAACTAACTATGGTACAGTTTTAACATTTTTTTCAAGTTCTTCAATGCTGAAAAGTAGACCATTTCCACAACAGTTGCAACCAGTCCCAGCTATGTTTATGTGTTTATTGTATGCTGTGTATAGAACACAGCTCTTGAAACAGCCTGTAATTAAGAACATGCTATGCAAACAAAATCAAAATGGAGGCAAGACTGATTGTGTTCATCTTGCTTTCTGCATCACAAATCAGGCTGAAGGCTACAATGCAAGGTTTTCTGTCTCCCTCTCCCCAACGGGAAACGTGACTCACTGTTCAGTGCCAATGCTACTTCAAGGCTTGAGGGCTTTTTCCTCCTCATTTTGCTTTGTCAAAATGTAATATTTTTGTAGATTATATTGACTGCACTGCTTTTCTGGCAGTGTTAAATCTCAACCAATCAGTTTAAGGAAATAAGGCTGAAAGGATGTGTTAAGCTTTCTTAAAGAGAAGGACATGAGATTAACATGAAATCGTAGCCTCACCATGATCTTTTTGATGAACAGCACACTGATGTTTATAAAAGCGAGGAAAATCTGCAACTAGATGATTGCCTATGGTCTGTTCTCTTCCTTGATGCAAAATCTTTGTTTAATTTTTACAAGACTATGCGCATAGAAACAAAAAAACTCTCTGCTCTCTCCTCACTGCAACAGTCGGCTCTACCTCATCAGGGAGAGAGTGCAGCTACCCATCTCCATAAGGAGCATCAGTCAATCTGCCACTGCCAGATCCTCTTGCTGCCAGGAGCTGTCAGTCTGGGCAGGACTCCTGACCTCCTCCATTCCTTCATTTGTCTGCCTTTGAGAAGGATAAAACACCCACTGACCTTGCAGGAAGGGGGTAAATTGCTTAGCTGTCAACGATGAGACACATCAGCATCTTGGAATCTTTGAGAATTTGACTCCAAACATCCCCGTCTCGTGTTTTAGTGAGATGCTCTCAAAAAAAAAAAAAAAACAAACCAAAAAAAAAAAACAAAAAACCAAAACTGTTGGAGAATGGCTCAGAGACAAGGGTCCTGAACCCAGCGAGCAATTGTATGATCAGAGCCTGTTCTAGGGGCTGATGCTGGGCCTCACTAGGGTTTGCCTGCAGCTGCTCGCAGCTGCTGATACATGAAGAATGTCAAGGACGCTTCAGCCCTGTGTACCGTGGTGTGTCGAAAACAGGTTAAGGGGAATTAGGAATAGTGGTCTGAGAAACCTAGTGTTATGGTAACGGTGGTCTGAGAAACATTGTGTTATGGTACTGTTGTGTATTGAAAACAAGTCAAGAGGAATCAGAAATAGCATGAAAAACTTAGTGTTATGAGAAGCTTGTACTGTAAGCTAACTGCAAGTAGGTGGACCGTGCGAATAGGACCGTTAGAGCTTAAGCCAATCAGCTAGTGACTAGTAGGCATAATAATTATCATTGTCTGTATAAATATATGTACCTTGGAGCAATAAACACACACGTTGATTGATGCTCCATCTTTCACATTGAACCCGTCTCGGCGTGTCGTTCGTCCGTGGCTCCGCACTAAACAACAAACCCAACTGATGTTTCCTATGACCTGTGCCAAACCTCATGCAATTTGGCAGTAATCTAAAAGGGAGAAGAGCCATCCAGCCTTTTTGGAGGGTAGCGATGGACTAGTACAAGGTCTCCTTAGCAATGTTTTCTCTATGAGGGAGACCTGCATCTGCCTGGGGTCATTGGTAAGCACTGTTTTGGGGTGCTACAGGTCAGGTCCACCCCTCACACTACCTTTCCAGTCCTACCACCATGGGCACTGGTCCCACACCTGACCCTGGGAATAAGGACTACGGACATTTGCAGCGGAGCCTGGCACCTGGCCCTTGCCTGCCTCCTCCACAGTGCTCAGGGTGGTCAGGGCTGCACGCAGACCTTAATTAATTTTTGAAGGAGAATCTGACACCACTCCAGAACAAAGGTTAATGCTTAAGCTGTGGAAAAGGAGCAGAGTTGACACATTGTATTAAAATCTGCTGGCAGGGTGGAAAACTAAGGGAACCTTTCCAAATTAAAAACAAAAGGTTAATAGCAGAGTGCAGCTGGAATCAAGGCTGGGGGTTACCATTTTTATTAGTTTGATAAGTGACTTAGGTAGTGGGTTTCCAAGCCAGAGATTTTTAGTGTTAAATGTGTCCTTTAACTGGAAAGTACAACATTTATAGAATAAGCACTAGCCAGATTGCTACCATAAAAGTGAAGGATATATGACACGTTAATGCCAGTTACACTTTTCTGTAGTTGAGAAGAGGAGGCAAGAGCAGAGTGTTACAGGGGAGGAAATGTCCAGCAAGTGCAAAAGTGATGGCACGTGTTTGCAGCACAGTCATAGCTCATGCCACAAGTATGTCTCTGCACAGTGTCCCAGCCTCATACAAAACAGCACGGGGGAGTGAACATGGTGTCAGTGACCCTGAGTATCATGGAGACTCAATAGACAGCCACATTTTAAATGAAGAATGAATTTGTATGACATCTATTTGAAACACCACTCAGGTTCGCTCCCCACAAATTAATGCAGTTATACTGGTTGAGAATAAAATCTAAATATTTACTGCAGTCTTACTACTACTTGTAAATGGCATATGGAATACCATAAATTATGCCGAGAGATAAATATCACTTTGCTGTGTCAGAAAAGAATTGCCCACTGATATTCACTAGCCTTTCAATGGGTTGCAATTAATTTCTTTTGATTTTATGCATGGTGTAATTGATACTGGAGTCAATGTAAACCTTATTTTTCCCTTAGGATATGTCATAGTTTGTGTCTATAATCTGTTTTTATTAACAGATTTAGCAAGATTAGGTTGCCACCCTAGTAAAAAACATTTCATCAAAATAATCTGTAAATGGTATTGTTTTCTTAGAAGGCATTTACCTCCGGGCAGGCAGGGGGAAAGGGGAGGTAATTAACTGTTAGCATGCTAAAGATTGTTCAGTGAAGGCAAAATTGTTTCTAAATTAAAAATTAAGCAAACTGTTTCCAAAATGTACCAGCATCCCTCCTTCTCTTTCCTTCCTTTCTTTTCAGCCATGGCTGCTCCCCTTCTGCCTGTTTTGGCTTTGACTCCTCTGCATCAGACTCTCCTTTTGACTTGTCAGTCCAGCTGCATTCTTTCCAGCCCCACTTCTCTAGTTGTTGTCTTAGACCCCTCTTTTTTTTACTGTCTTTCAAGCTTTTTATTGTCCTCTGGTTCCTTTGTACTTCCAAGTAAGGGTAGTAATTAAATCAAAATGCTTCTCTGCAACATCTTCTACCACTCCTTAGTTTCAAATTTTTGCTACAAATGCTTGTGCATCTGACTTGTTTGCAGTCCAAAAGAAGGATGGGAAGAAAATTAGACTATAAACTGACTATATTTGGACTGTGTTCTCATTATATTAGTGCCACTAATCAGAATTTTTCAGTCACTCCTCCTGAGTAAAAAGTAATGTTTCTCTTCTGCCCTGGAAACCACATACAAGGAGGTCAGACTAGGTTCCATCTTCCCTTTCCCAGATAATCTCTGCCTGACTTCTGTGGACGAGAAGATGGTGAGTGAGTAGAAGCACAAAGCCCTACACAAAAAGTTTCAAACTGCAAGTTGCCCATGTAAGAAATAATGTACCTGAGAAGAACAGATGGAGCAAAAAAGGGGACACTGTAACTTTCCGATATCAATTGGAAATCATATTTCTTTATCAAATCAGGAAATAAGATTTGCCACATCCATGGGTGATGGATAATGGCTTACAATGACTGTGCCAAGGCATCATATTTATATTGGTGGATTGCTACTTTTATTATTAGCATTTGGCCTGGCTAGCCTGATGTCAACTCTATAAAGTGATTGTTTGCTTTATTTTTAGGGTAGAAGAAAGTTTTAAAACCTTATTCTGGTCAATATTTGGCTTATCTGAAGTGATATCTGTGGTGCTGAAGTACGATCATAAATTCATTGAGAATATTGGATATGTACTCTATGGAGTATATAACGTGACTATGGTGGTGGTGCTGCTTAATATGCTAATAGCCATGATCAACAACTCCTATCAGGAAATTGAGGTAAGATTACAAACGCAACATACTTAATTATCACTGATAATGAAAATGTTAAAAAAACAAGGGAGTGGTATCTTATTCCATACACAAGATTAGAGAGCTGTTGAAACACAGATCTTACACTTTGTAAGTGTTAAGTGTTAAGACTGTGTCTGTCCTCCCCAGGTTAGGACTGAATTAATATTTAACAATGAATCATTTCTAGAACAACTTCAACTTCCTTGTTTTTAATGACCATCTGTGAGTAAACCCAATTTCCTTTACATGTATTTAATGAAAGTAGTTTGTGATTTGTTTTACACCCTTTGTCAGTTATGATTATTTATCCATGTGTGTTACCTTAGCTGCATTGTTTGCTTATGATAGATTGAGTAATATTTCATCTGGCTTTTTGCCCTGTTCTCTACTGGTTAAACGCCCAAGTCTATTTAGGTCTGAAACTCATGTATGCATATTTTTTAAATCCATATTTTCCAAATACCAAATATACAACCTTGATAAAGATTTTTTTGAGGAGTGTTTAGGTCTGCAATACATAACTGCATGGACACTCACAAAATGTAACTTTTAAAGCATATGAACACACCCCTCAGGGAATATGAATAGGTTTCTGCAGAAAGGTGATCTCAGGGTTTATTAACCTTGTTCAGTAGTACTGATACTAGCAGACTGAATTTGCTAAATGCTTTGGACGTAAACAACTCCCTGATAATGTCAATAAAGGCAGGAAAAAATTATTTAGATAATAATGCTGAGTCACCTCTTCATTCTGATTTGTTAAATGTCAAGTTTCTGTAGTTGGGTTTGTATTATTTGTTCTAATTCCCCCAACCCCAGAGGCTGACACTGCAAAAGGCCAGAGCTGAAAATATTTTCTCACTGTAATGTCTGATTCATCCATGTACTGTAGTGCAAATACAACTCTATCTTGTGCATGGTGTAACTAAGTTTAAATGTCAAAGAGACCTTATACATGTTCTCTGCCCCAGAAGCTTTCTTGTATGCAGAAGACACAGTCATTTCCCCAAAGATTTCTAATTGCTTAAGATCAAGCAGCTTCCTGAATCCTCTTCTACCAAAACAAAATTTATTTCTGAAGGGGTCTCAGTATCTTACTGCATTTTCTTGTGTATTGTAGTAGGTAGAGATGGTCTTGAAAGTTTCTGAAGAAAAATCTCAAAATATATCAATACGTGGCTTACATTAACTTTCTAGTCTGGTGACCGTTTCCCTGCAAAAAAAAATGCTTTATCATCCTTCTTGATTGAGTGGAAATTTTCAAAACATTGTTGAAGACTAATTGTAACTATCAGCAAGCAAAACAAGTGTGAGCTATTTGGCCCAGATCATCCTACTTGAGCACTGGGAAAAACTAGTAAATCTCATACTAGTTCCTTTCAATCCTCAGTAGCCAGGAGATTAAAGGCAGAGTCATCCTACTGACTGAAGAGAAAGTCTCTTTTGCTAATGTGTTCATTTGATGATCGCAATGTCAATAATGACAGAAGATGGTCATTACTTAGGAATTAAAATCCATTATGTCAGTGGGGACATATTTTATGGTTAGCTGGAGTGACAAGCCCATGTTCTTATGCTTCCCATTGAACATCTCTCTTCAGCTACTCCTGTTTTTCTTCTGTTTATGCCTCAAGTATTTGTTCTTCCTGCCAACTTTGCATTTATGGAAAGAAAAAATTAGTTTGCCAGCTAGAAACCAGAACTATTTCCATCAGTAGCTTCTTAACTGGTTAACAGAAGAGCATTAAAAATGTTCTCAGGTGATTTTTACTATAATCCAGTTTAAGGCTTCTGTGAGGTGCAGCCCCAAACAATGAGAAGACTAAATGGCAGAAGTGACTGCTGCTCCATTGGTGAAGACATATTGCTGTAACTATAACAGAATTAATCTCAATTGTGTTATGCCAGATTTTGACTGGGTTTCAGAGGTACAGGGTAATCAAAGGTTATTAATTTCAACAGAACACAGATGTACATGAGTATGGTGTGTTGGCAGACCCACACTTCTATTGATGATGCTGGTCTCCATATAACCACAGTGAGAACAGCTGTTGAGCAGCTGTATCTCATCCTTTCTTTTGCCTGATAAATGGTCCTGATACATGGCCCTGACCATCCTCCTATACAAATGCCAAGCAGATCTATAAAGTACGTGCTGACCTTGCCATTGTACTTGGAAGTGATTCTGGCCCATCTTGACAGTTCATAAAGGAGATTCATAGGCACTGAGTGATAGACTTTTCTCCACCTCCACCCACTGAGGTGAACAGCAAGAGAATTAAGGTGTATTGATCTAAGGATACGTGATGATGAATTCGAACAGGATCCATGAGGAAATCAGCTAATGATAGAAGAAATCAGTGACCTAGTCTCTTGTATGGGGGATTCCTGGCAAATGCAGTGATCAGTTAGCTGGCAGTTAGATAGCATTGCATTTAACCAGAGGCAGTCTTTGCTGTTGTGCACATAACTGTTTCTTTTGCTTTCCATGACTCTGTACATGTTCTGATACATTCTTTTATCAGCACAGCACAAGCACTAGATCATTACTGGAAGACATCCCCTTTGATATCTAAGGAAATAGGATAGCCTAGTATTTGAGGGAGTTATACTCTCTGTTTATCCATTGCTTTGTTTCAATTCTCTTTATTTTAAGATTACCTACAAAGACATGTTGTTTGCAGGATTCTTGGTTTGGCAAACAGAAATCTGATTCTATTTAAATCCTAACTGTATGATTGTCCTTCTCTACAGCTAAATTCCTTCCTATCTACTAATTATGTATTTGGGTGTTGTTTTTTTTTTTTTTTCTTTTTTTCTCTTCCCAAGGAGGATGCAGATGTGGAATGGAAGTTTGCACGTGCCAAGCTCTGGCTATCCTATTTTGACGAAGGAAGGACTTTACCTGCTCCATTTAATCTAGTGCCAAGCCCTAAATCATTTTATTATCTCATACTGAGAATAAAATTGTGCCTCATAAAACTCTGCAAATCTAAGGCCAAAAACTGTGAAAATGATCTTGAGATGGGGATGCTGAATTCCAAACAACGGGTATGTTGTATCTTCACTGTTCACCTTCTTTGTAGAAAGGATTCATGCCAGGAACCTTTTGGCGGGGGTTACATGGTACACAGATAGATCAGGAACAGCACAACAGCTTACTCAGCCTCATCACTGCATGTTACTTGTATTACATTGCACCTAGAAGCTCCCAGACTTCTGGCCTCATTATACTAGAGACTGTCTGGACTCCAGGAAAAAAACCCCAACTTTTTATAAAAGCAGGCACATTTTCAAAAGAGTTTCCCAATGCCAAATAAACAAGGTCAAATATGAGGGGCAGAAAGAAGAGGCACTAATAGGATCCCAACTTGGCTGACTCCTCATCTACCCAGCAAGCTTTTATGCCTTCTCAAAACATCCACCTTCCTTTAAGTGATTTCCAAATTAATTTTACTGTCATTACAACATTTACTGCCATTCCATATTTGAGAACAAGTTTCCAAGCAGTGCTTAATAACACCTTCTAGATACCTAAAGCTATAATTAACAACCTCTCTACTTGCATCTGCCTAGTCATGTGTAGCCACTAATGGGTAGATTCTGCTTCAGCCAACACCCCTTCGGTCATTTGAAATAGAAATTTGCTTTGAAAATAGTGGCTACACAGTGGCACACTGTCCTCAGCACTAGTGAGTGTCTGCCTCACAAAGCAAGAGAGATGTAAGAATATGGTTAGCATCCAGACCCTTCCCAACAGAATTAGTTTTGGTACCCCATGGGAAAATGCCAGAGAAATTAGAGAAAATTATGTTGTCTGTGGAAATTATTACTTGCAACACAACACAGAACGTCAATGGAATAAGGGTTTCTGCCACATAATTTTGTAACCAACACAATCCTGCTCACAGGGCAAGTCTGCCTGCTTTACACTGGAGAAGGAAACACTCAAAACACAGAAACTCAGCCACAGCTGCTCAGACGCTGTCATCAATTCAGTGGATTCGAAGATGCAAGGAGACAGCTTTGCTTAGAAGTGTCCTGGCCTTTATTTAATTTTCTCAGCTCAAGCTGGGTGTGAAACAAAAGAACAGCGTTCTCTCTCGAGAACAACAAAAGAGAACTCATTCCTGGGGGAAAAGAAAAGCCCCCCGAAATGTGTTGTCTTTTATTTCATATTGTCACTGTGTGTAAGAGGCCGGTGTGGCTCCTTGGCAGGCTGGCCAGCATTCTAGGGCACGTTGCTATTCCCTCAGCCTGGTCTCAGACCCATCCTGGGTTTGTAAAACTCCAGCTGTGTGTCACTTCCCAGGAGAGGGAAGAAGTGGGTGACATTGAAACCCTCCAACTGAGACGTGGGCAGCCAACTCCCAGTTTTAAGCTTGCAAAAGTGAAGAGGTTTAATAAGAAAGACTAAGGAGAAAAAAAGGGACGTTGAAGCAGGTTTTGCAGAGATTGCCTTTGTAAGGTGCAGCCTGCTTTTGGGATTTTTCTGGATCTCTTGGTTCTCCTTGAAGGAGCAAACAGCTGAGCAAAACAACTCGGTGAACCATCCGGCTCCAGGCACAGCCCTTGGCCTTGGAGGAGATCATGCTCCCATGAATTTGATAACTGCTTAGGTCAGATGTTCATCCAGTCTCTGCCAGAGCCTAAATTGAAGGGAGAAGTATATCCATTGGGTCTACTCCATGTTATCAATTAATTTAACTACCCAACAAGGTAAGCATTGACAAGACAGACAAGCAGTTGGGGGAACTTTACTCTTTAAGTTCATTTAACACTACTATTTATTACTGAAAGACTCATTAGAACAGCGGAGTCTGTAAATAAAATAAATGTTTGTCCTTTAACTATCTCAAATAATGATTAAAAAAGATATTATTTTTAAAACCATATTTGAATCTAACCACATGACACTTGCTTTGTTTTAAATTTAATTTCTGCTTCAAAGCATAAATCGAAGTAATAAAATTTTGTCTAAGCCACTTCTTCCCCAAGCCACATGAGTGAAAGTGTCTAGCTTGTCCTTTTTCATGGAACTCATGCAAAATTCATAGTTTCCATGGCTTTGACATAAACAATTAAGAGTATCAGTAATTTTTTGCTTGCTTGTTGATTTTGTTCACAGATCATCTTCAAAATAGTCTCTGTAAGACCATGGTACATCAGATGAGTGAGAAACAAAAAAAAATAATTACATGATTACTTCCGACATTTAGTCCAATCATTATCAGCATACTGATTTTTAAAAAATAATAACAAAAATAAATCAACTATTTCTCAGGATCTCTGGTTCAGTCAGGGAAGAAAACCCTTAACCAGAGCTTTCCCTGTGCATGCACTCACATATAGGTTCAGAGACCTATGATATGTATGGGATCCTTTGGGTTTATAAGATGAATTAATTCCTTTAAATAAGAGATTTTTTTTTCATTAGCACTTGATCCAAAATGTTCAGAGGTGGATAACAGAGTCAAAAAAATCTGTTACAAATATTGTGTGTAGTCTTCAGAAAAGTCTTGGAAGCTTCAAAAGTACAAAATTAGTAGCTATGATGTCCTCTGGTTAAAAAGAAATACTGCTCTATCTAAATAAAATGCATATTTTCATTGAGCTAAAAAAGTAGCAAATGGTATTGTTGTTTTAAAAGGACTGATGAAAATCAATCCTGTTTCAGAATTTGTTTTTGTACTACATCGATTTGTTCTCTTTAAATATGAATATTTACTTTTCTTCCTTTCTTAAAATGTGTTCTAAATTAAAAATCTCCAATCTATTTGAGATTAACGTATTTTGTGCCTCTTAATACCTTCTTGTCTAAAACTTGTGTGAGAATGCCATTTTTGTGCAGACAATTTAGAATCCAAATTTTTCAGTAATTTGTGGGGTTTGACCTTTTTCTGTCTTTCAAAAGTTTACTTTTTTAGACCTGAATGTGCTAGCTTTAATTCTACTCATACATTGAACCATTTCCTACCATTTTTATAAAGCTCTGTTTAGTTTGCAGATATCTGAGTATGAGAAACTATCATTGATTTAATTATATCATGATGTTTTATAATTTCAGAAAGTTCGTTTTCACTCTAGCACTCGAAATACAGAAAACTTTTCTGGGAAGAACGCTTATAACAAGCCCACAAGATATCAGGTAATCACAGCATGAAAGCAAGATCCAGGGAAGAGATCCGTCAGTGAACAGCTCTTACCTGCAAGACTCATGTTTGTTTTCTTCCAGTTGATGCCACCCCGTTACATGCCAGGCTGTGGCTTGGCACAGGACTGGGCTGGGGCACTCCAGAGGCAAAAGCAGCCTGTCACCCTTGGCAGTACACACGGTGTTAGCGTTTGCCATGCTAATGAATTCCACTCAAGGGTATTTAAATTAATACAAGAAATATCATTCAAGCTTTAAACCTCCAGTCCTGCATTGACAGCATTTCATTTGTCATGACATAGAGTCACCCCTCCCAACCTTTGCATTAGCATTTGCATGTGCTTTCTCTGGCAGTGACTTGTCCTACCGAGATAACCCTGCAATGTGATACGGTTCAAAACCACCTGCAGCTGCAGCAGTGGCACCGGGTGCCCCAGCCATCGCAGGAGATAACACAAGTGTCTGTCTCTGCTGGAGTGTTCATGCCAGCAGATGTATTATTTCTTGTGCAAACATGTATAGTAAGGTAACATGATAAACAAAATGTTCCCCACATGATTTTTACTTATTTTTTAACATAAAGTGAAAAGTAATCTGGCTGCAAGTGATATATCTGAAGGAACTGACGATAAAGACAGTTGGGGGAGGCAATAGTTAAGTTGGATAGAATGGATAATGGTAATTCTAGAAGTGGTTTGTCTTGTATTGATACAGCACCCAGCACAATGGGCTCCCAGGTTGTACAGCAGGCCAGTAATAAATTTCTACTAGTTTTAAAAGTTGTTCAGGCTTTTGTGCCAAGATAGGAGGCATATCTAGATATCTAAGTTATAAATGGGATACATTCACTGTGGCATCTGGAGTTAGTTGTCTTGATACCATCAAGGGCAGAGGGAAGAGATGATTGTGTCCTGCTCAAAATGGCATTTCAGCATTTCTGACATTTTCCCATCCAATCAAACGCACAGGTAATGGAAAGATGTGTCAGTCTTTGCTGGACTCATTCTTTTCCTGTATCAATTATTTCTAAATGAGACCACCTAATGTTTGTGGTAAATTAGACCCTTATTTCCAAGGTTGAAAAAGCCAAAGGCAGACATGAAAAATATCTAGAAAAAGATAACTATCTGTTATTTTGCTTTAATAATGCTCCTACTAGGTTTGTCTTCAAATGATCTTAGAAAGTTTCAGTTGCTGCAGGAAAAGATTGCCCAAATAATATAAAGAGAGAGTAATAGCCTTGATTATCTAAATATAAAGAAGAACAATGTGATAATCTGGCCAGCAGGCTTTATTCTACAATTGGGAAATCCTTTGAAGAAGTAGCTTCTTGCTGAATTCTTTTCTTTAGTCGTATTTATCAAGTTATATATCTGCAGTCTGTGTACTTGGAATACATACAGTCAGTGCTCTAGAGGAATAACAAAAATACACAGATACTGAACATGCAATAGTTTGAAAAGTAGGAGGAACAAGTCAACACATAGATGCCATGATCTGGAAATAAACTACTCCAGGCAAAATAATACCTTTATCAAGCCCTCTTGAGCTGAGACTTCAAGATAGAGCATTGCTAAAATGTTGTGCTAAGCTCACAAGTTTCTCCCTCTTTCAGCACTGCAGTCTGTCATGCTATCAACGTCTTCATCTACAAAACTCAGGAAACGATTTGTCAGGAAAAAAAATGAATAGTTTGTACTTTTAAAGGCTCAGAGTTATATTTCTTTGCTGTTTTGAGATACAAAATAGCACAGAAGTGAGAAATGATCAAATTCCTTTGCTTGCTTCACTCCTGAGCTCTTCTACTGCCTAAGTGATAACACATGCATTTGAGATTGCCACATTTGAGATCTGATGCCCCAGTGAGTAGTTGTCCCCTCTGGTCACTGCTGACTTGCTTCTGATTTTGACCAGGGACATGAAGGTGAAATGATTTTCCTCCCATTAGTGCCACCCTGAGACCACCCACACTTGTGACAAATGACATCTTCTGTGCCTACAAACACACCATCAGGAATAAAACTGTGAATTAAATAGCAGCATTATGGTCTGTAACAATGTCATCTTCAAAGGTGCATATAAGCGAAGTCCAGAATAAAACAGTATAAATAATGAAGTGGGAAGACATCATGGCCTCCACATTAAAGACAAGGAACTGAGGTCCAGAAGGACTTACCAGACCCAAAAATCCTATGGTTGAACCAGAAATTGAACCCCAAATCTCATGAGTCCAATTTCACTGCCTTGGCCACAACTCTGTCCTTTTCTTCTCATTTCCCTCTGTGCTGGGAGGCATAGAAACTGTTCAGACAACTGATGGCAAATGCAGAGCTTGAAGGCTGTGCCAATAAAAACATTAAAAAGATTGGATTCAGTACAGAGTTATAATTTACAAATGCCTGACCTGTTCCTAGAACCTGTTCTCTTAAGACCATTTTAAAACCAACATTCAGTAGCTGATTGTTCCATAATATGAGACCTCAAAGACCTGAAGAATTTCCATTAATTTTTAGAGAATGGGGGAACAGTACTTTATAGAAATCAGACATATTTGAATTGTTTCAAGTTTAGTATTCATTACCAAGAGGCTGTCTGTAAATTTTGTTCAGCATTTCCCTGCAGGAACCAGGATTATTTTTCCAAGAGGCTACTTCATGCATTGTGGGTAAAAAGGGCAGTACCAGGGAGAAGAGAAGAAGCAAGGTTTAGAAGCCACAGTGCAATATCAAGGCAAAAATTAATTACCTTCCTAAAGCTATTGGCAGAAATATCTACTAAGTGGCTAAATAGACTCTTGTTAAAAAGTGGTCACGTTTTTAGTATTTAATTTATGTAGACTAATCTGACTACAATGTGCATTTGATATAGCATTTGAGTAGCATCCATCAAATATACAAGCTGTGTGGGAACTGGAGTAGATAGATGTTATCGTATTTTTCCAGGTAACAAAAGCATTCCTTGTGTGTTGATTTCATTTTCTAGTAAAAATTTCCTGCCTTCTGTTCTGAAAAAATAATTTCTTTTTGGCTCCAGGATTTCCCTACTTTCCCCAAACATTACTTCATTCATTTTCATTCATTGTTCTCAGGTGACAACCCTACCACCCTCCGGATTCTACTACCTTTGTCATCTTCAACACACCTTATGTGCGCTGTGCCTCATCTCTGTTGCCTTAATGACTCACCCTGTGAGCCAGATGCCTCTTTGATACAAGGACAGTCTTAGACATCCCATATACCATGACTAAATGACATACACAAATAACTGGATCCCTCTTTGATGTTCACATGCCTCTTGCACTGCTATAATCCAGTGTGTAGCCCAAGACTGCCAAAGTTACTTTCCTTCTAGATAAATACAACTTACGCATTTTTGGAACAATATCACATTGCAAGCTTGTATCCATATCCATCTTCTACTATTTTCATATACGCTGTTCCTTACTAACAATCATCACCCAGTTTATAAGTCTACATGGCTCTATTTTTTCCCTGTGCATGTCCCTAAAAAAACCCCTTTTCCCTAATAAACTTCTCTCACTTAAGCCAAGTTCTCCACTTCTGTTCAAATGCTCTTTCCTCTGTCCTTCACTAAAATTATTTTCTCTCCTAAACCCCCCAGTTCCAAAGCAAACAGAGTATTTATTCTAACCTCAGGTCAGATGTTTAGTTCATCATCCTGAGAGAGTTTACTAACATTACTAATTAACCACATATTTCTTCCTGTATAGTATTTTTATTGATATATTAAACAACAATGTGCTAAAGGAAGGCTCTGGATCCTGTTTCTTAGCTTGCTTGGATCATCTTGCTTTGAATAGTTAAGTTATTTCATAGCTTAGCTTGGATCATCTGTGTTTTCTTTCTGTCTGTGGGACATACTCTACATTCATGTACATCCCACAAAATACCCTGAAGTGCCTCATCTGTGGGTTCATTATGGAATGGCTGTCAATCAACTATTCTAGCACAAAGTTCATAAAATAAAATATAAAATAAATGGGAAATCAATAAAAAATTCTCTTTGCATCCTCTGAAGCCAGGTTTTATTCATAATGAAATCAGGTGTTTGAACTGCTTATAATGAGTCTAGAATTAAGGCAATGTGGATACACTCATGTTAAGATAAGTGTTACTGTTCTCTTTTCAGAAAATAATGAAGCGCCTGATTAAGCGGTATGTACTGAAGGCTCAGGTTGACCGAGAAAATGATGAGGTCAATGAAGGCAAGTGGATTTTTATAATTAACACAGATTAGAGGATGTAATGGTACTGCTATTCATATGGCCAGTAAAAGGGTTGAGCTTAGATAAAATCCTCTGTAGAGGGAGAGCATGTTCATGCTCGCTCTAAGGTGATCAGTGGTGACTGAGACGTATTTATGCTCTGGAAATTCTGGTGTCTTAGTTTTCCTTAGCAGAACACGTATATCATAGGATCTGTCTTTACATGATCCCGCTCTACCTTATAGTTCTACACCTCCTTGCTTTACAATACCCACAATATTGCCATCACCCAACCTTGTCTTGGGGTCTAAGTAAAGCAATTTCTTACTGTACTGCCCATGCCTGTCTCAATGACTTTTTATGAACTGGGTAAGGATTTGTATGGGCATAGTGTCATGTAGGATTTATAAGTAGATGGAAAAAAACCTCATTCTATCACCTCCTAACTGCTACCCTCCTGCAAATGCCATGTGTAGGTAGAGATCAATATGTGGAAGGAGAACAGACTCGAGAAAAAATATGAACTTCCCATACATATTTCCTATTGCGGTCAGTATTACTACTACCAGTACAGGTTATTTCTTATAAGTCAAATATGAAGTACATAAATGCAGGGACATCATATGGAGCTCCACACACATTCATGACCAACAACACTGAAATCAATGCTTTCTCAGGTCTTAAAATGACAGACATTGATTATTTGGTTCAATAATACTAACAAGAACATTTTCCTCCTTTTAGGAGAACTTAAAGAGATTAAACAAGATATTTCTAGTCTCCGTTATGAACTCTTAGAGGAAAAGTCACAAGCTACTGGCGAGCTGGCAAGACTAATACAGCAGCTGAGCGACAAATTTGGGAAGAACTTAAATAAAGACATTTGATGGTGAACACAGAGAAAGGTAACTGGCTTTCTAAACATTATTCAGTCTCAACCAGCATCCTAGGAGGGCAAAAAACATGCAAAAGATGGGTACTGCACACTCAAATTTTGCTAACTAACAAGTATTGGTAGGAGCACTTTACATTACTCCTGCATTTGATGAGTTACCAGTTAAATATTTTATGATACAAAAGTGACTTACTGGTAAAAATATATGCCCTTTGACATCAGAAATTGATGCACCATAGGGAAGGCAACTCCAGTTAAAGGCAAAAAAAGCTAGATCTTCACCCAAGTGACTCTTGTGAAGACAATGCAGATGTGCTCATTTATATCTACTGAGACTGTACTGATCAGAATTGGTTGAAGTCTGAAGAAAAAATGTGCCAATCATATTCCTTGAAAAATTTTAAAAATTCCTATCCTTGGGTGTGTACTCTCCTTTTATGTTTACATGGGCATCCATGAAGATAACCTTGAACAGCACTGTCGTTAATGAGTTAATAAGCAAATGAGAAATAATCTACTGAAATGACCAAGGCAAAGTATGGCAGGTAGAGTTCATCTACCTTTTAGACTGTGTGACAGCATTGGAAAAAATGGACCAAGCTTGATGGGTAAAGCATCATTCCACCCCTCTGCTACAACCTGATAAAGGGATTCCCAGCCTGAAAGTCATCTCAGCCTTTTCCAGTTATATTAGTTAGTCCGCTAATGGATACGGTCTCTTTGTACACACATAACCTCTTTTTTACCCTTAGATGATCCCAGCTTCAACAATGTTGTACTGAAATATTCATAATGATGTAAAACTCACTTCCCAGGAATGCCCAGAAATAACAAATATTGTACTAATGTGTTCAGTTCAAAAAGCAACATTAATCCAGCGGCAGTGATGCAACTCAGCTCAGCATTTGGATTCCAGCAAGCCATAGGGTGAGATAAATCACAAGGAACATAGCCCAGGAGTTGCAAACCTTTAAATCAATACAAAAAGGCTTCAATTCCACTGAGAACATTCTGACAAAAACAGGAAAAATCATTGTGGAAATTACTGTTTTATGTGCTTGGCTCTTACAGAGGACCAGAAAGGGATTAGAACTGTTTTAAAGGCCGCAGTAATACCAGTACCCGGATTGTACTTTTATGACTGGCAAGTGATGAGCAAGACAATTACAGACTTGGATTGCTTGGGTTTTTACGTTTAGCTACACGATTTCAACTACTTAAAGCACACCTTACTACTTGGGAACCACTGAACTGTACTGTTTGTTTACAAGAAACACCTGTACAATGAACATTATATTTGGGTGTGAGCTGAGAAAAACAAGCAGAACCAGAAGGTGATCTGTGATCAGTTCTTAAGTGCCAGATGAGAATACAGATAGCCTAATAGAATAATAGTTATATTTGTACAAAAAAAAATAAAAAAAAATAAAAAAAAAATAATAAAAGAAAAAAGTGTACTGTACGTAGATCTGTTTAGAGAAAAAGCAAAATACTGTATTTTTACCTTTAATATGATTATCTTGTATACTGTAATATTTTTACCTAAAAATGGGAAAAAAATAAAATTACCTCATAATATTTTGTTGTACACTGAGTGAAATATTTGCCTGATCTTTTGACTGTTCAATACATTGACATTTTTTTGCTTCTGTGTGACGTCTAAACAATTGAATCATTATATGAAGCAATTTTGCCATAGGAACTCTGAAGCCTAAAAGAGTCAAAAAGCAAAACTTAAATACATTTAAAGCAATACAACTAAGAAATCAAAGGTTCTGTGACCAACTATAGTCTGTGAAAATGTCTCCTCATTTGTGGTGCTTAATTTGAAATTATGTATTCTTCTTAATGTGTTCATAAAATTACTTTCTAAGAACAGAAATTCAGCTCAGCTGGCTTCAGAGAAGCATAGTGCTGGTACTGACTGGGCAATCAAAGGAAGTCAGATGAGTAACACCAACGTTTAGAGGCTGGTAAGAGAACTGAAACAGCCTTGGCCCCTGATTACCCCACCTGGGTTGGTGGTACTTTGCAGCGCTCCAGCACAGGGCAGCATTTCCCACAGCTGTCAGCTACACGTGGGAAATCTGTTGCTTTGCATGATAGTTCTTGCAATGTAGTGCCTTGATGAAATATTTAAATGTCAACATTCAGCAGAAAGTACCAAATGCCAGTGTAAGAAGACACACGCTGCAGGTAACAATGTTTGCAAGAATGATAACTCATTGCTTTGGGCTGTCTTTCAACTTAAACCAGAAAATGTTGCTGATTTAAAATATTAATTTTTCCCCATAAGAAGAAATAATATCTTCCATGGCAATATTGCTCTTCCTCCCCTTTCCACACCTTTCTAGACACTGTGTAAAACTTTTTTTCAATTTGGAAAACCAGCTCTGTTGACACAGCACTGTCTTAAAAATGTATTTCATTATAACTGTACACCTGACTCCTGATCAAAGTATTGCTTTGCCCTTCCCATTCAGTGTTTGAGCATCCCCTAGGAATTTAAACACAATTATTCTAGGTAGAACATACAAGAGCCACCATAATTTGCATTTCTCATAAGATTGCATGCCAGGTCACACAAGAAATTTAAGTGGAAACACTATGATACATTTACAATTTGTACATTTAAATGCAGCTCAATAAAAGGCCTGTCCTAAAGTCCAGCAATGTCAACAGGAATGTTTCTCCTACTGCTGAATATTTCAGTCAATGCACGTTCTGGTCAGCACAAATAACACTGTACTGTGAATAACTCTGCTGAATTATGTGGGCCCACGTGGAGGTATAGCTGTGCCCCGTCAGCTACCACCCACTGCCCTTGTGGCATCTGTATAAGCGAAGCAGTGCAGTCCTGCCACAGATAGTTAGCATGCTGCTCTGCATTCAGGAATTTGCTATGAAAGAGCATAATAATTTCTAGGACTTTGAAAGTAGACTAACAGATGCATTAAAAAATACAGTTAAAAAAAATCTGCTTCCTCCCCTTTTGCATTTACATTCCAGGAACTATCAATGCACGGAGACTTCTTATATAAATATTCATGACAAGAAAAATCCCACTTCATCAGAACACTTTTCTCATCTGGTCCCAGGAACATAACCAAGGAAGCTGCACACTATGTATTAATATGCTATCAGCAGAAATGATGCTAAATTCATGGTTTATTCTCCAAGCTCTGTTTATAAGAAATTAAAATTGAGAAGCTTTACTAAAAGATCCCTGAGAGGAGTTAGGGAGTTTGAAGAGGAAAAATCAAAGTAGGTGGGTCCCAGATTGGATTAGACCTGAGACATGCAGGTCCCCTGTCCCATCTCCCATCGCTGGTGGGACTTGATGGCAGGCCAGTGTCACATCAACCCACCTGCTGAGCTAGATTTGAACCAGTCTGTATCAGCTCTTACTTTTGGCTTTGAAATATAGGATCTACTATTCCTTGGACAAATTCATACTGCAAAGAAATGGAATTTTGCCCAAAATCTTTATGGATACAGAATTATAACTTTTTATGGGAAAAATGTTAGAGAGGGGTCAGACAGATGAAATTAACCTGAAGTCATCCACACAAGGGGGAATATTCTCCAAGAGATTGTCCTAATTCTGTAAATCCCATGGGCCAATCAAGCTAGAACTTAAATAGATACCCTGAGGAAGATCAGAACAAAGTCATGAACTAGCCAATATTGATTTATTGATGCCCAAGTCTTCAGACAATTGTTTCACACATTGCAAAGACCAAACCAGTCAGCTGCTGCTAACAGAAAGGGAGGAAACAGCAGAAAGTATTAACATGACTTGAAATTGCAGAACTGCCAGATTTTAAACCAGGAACCCCTGCTGACCAGAGGTGCAAATCCTGAAACAAAGGAGCTGCCCACAGGCATCTGGCATCATGCCATTACTTTCAGTAGCATGAGATGGGCTTTGCAGCCCACAGGGTGGAGGTGATGGTTCATACAGAGTCACTCTCACAGCTGGACTAATTCTGCCTGTAACTTTACAGAGAACCACTAACGACAACTGTCCCCAGTTCCCAAAAATCATGGTTTAAAAGTAAATAAGAAGCAAGAAGAGTGTCATGAATAATGGCTTGGAAGACTGCCTGCATCCTGACCAGAGCTCACAGCACATTAAATTGTCAGAGCTAGGCTTTATTTTTAATTAATCTACATGAGAAAAGCATTTCCAGCAGGCCAAAAGAAATTGCCCTAATTAAAAGATGTAAGAGATTAAGGATCACTCAGCAAGGACAAGCTGGGACACAGTCCATCACCACAAAGGCAAGAGACCCGAGCAGTGCGGACACGATTTCAAAAACATCTCCACCTCTGCTGCCTTTCATGCCCTAGGCAGGAACCTGGCAAACAGGCCTTTTCATTCCTTATTTGACTTGTACTTACTTCCCTGACTAACCAACAGGCAGGGAAATGAGAGCCACGACTTCATAGCTCAGGCTACTAGGACTGCCCTGCAAAATGTCTTTCAGATGGAGAGGATGGATGTTTCCTCTATCTGGACATTGTAAACCCAGACTGACCCCTAAAAGCAGCTCTGTCCTCACTTTGGCCACAAATCTCTTGCTGTTGCAAAGAAGTGCCTGCTTATCTGCTTTGTGTAGATAAGTTCTATTCGCAATTGCGACTGCTAACATTACCTCTAGAGTTAGATGTTATGGTGAGCAGGTCTCGTTGATCTCTTCGTCACTCACTTGGTTCATGCCCATCATTTTATCTTGCCAGTAAGTGGGCTGTAAACCTTGCAGGTGGGAGACCTGATACTGGAAAAACTATGGCCTTAAGGAACTTATGTTTTTAGTAAAAAAGGATAAAGAGGGCATAGGAGAAACAGTCCTAGCTTCCAGTGGGAGGGAAGGATGGTGCAGAGAAATTCAGGGATTTGAGTTAATGAGCTGCAAGCCGTGGACCAAAAATGGATCTGTGGCTCTGAATCTTATTTGGGGCTGTATATACCCATTAGCTTCATGCTCTCTTGCTCCCTGTCCTGCATATTTGTAGGGAACATACTTGGGTATGAGGGATAACATTTGCCAATGCCTGGTGAAACCAGCACAAGAGCAACAATAGGAAAAAAGAATCATTGCCTCAGTTATCATATATCATTTTGGGAAGTGATCTCCTCGATCTCCGGGAGGTTTTAATGGCGCCATATCAATAATGAGAAAAGTCTTCACTATAGTTGAATTTAAATAAAGCCTAATAGAAAAGAAGATAATAACCAAAGGGGCAAAATAACTAGATAGGTTCTGGAATTTGTAATGCCTTTGATAGCAAGCGAAAGGGCACTTGCTTAAGGTCATTTGAGACAGATACTTAACACAAACCTGCAGTGTGATAAGGGGGAATTGGAAGGGCTTAAAAGGTTAATGAATAGCTAACGAGCTTGTTAATATATAACTAATGTTTACTATAATACAGACTAATATTTAATTCCCTTACTAATGATTAATTATTCTGCTGCAAGGGTTTAACTAGGGCTTACACAGCAGGAGCATGGGGGGATCTGGTGCTGAGATGAGTTTCCATGTGGCAGTCGCTGGCCCCGACTCCGGACTCTCCTCTGGCAGCTACCCCTGCAGCAGGTACAGCTTTCAGTGTCACAGCAGGACACTGACGGCTGAGATCTTCCTTAGGATGAAGGTCGTTCTCTTGTACATCCAGATGGGTGGCACTCAGACTCTGCAGCAAGTAGCTTTTGAAAACAAGCAAAGAAATCCCAAAAGGAAACCTCTCCCTCGGCCCCAGTGGCTGACAGCATCGTGCACTGCAGCCGTGCTCTCACCTCAAAGCAGGTCTCCCAGTCTCCTTACACTGGTATCTAGCATCGCCTCTGATGGCAAGGATTGTGGAACAGGGACTGCGATAACTTGCGCCAAGGTTTTCATTTGAAAATGAGCCTCTACCAAATTAAAAAGCTGATTTTATACAAAACTGTTTTCTGTACAAAAATGTGCTCTGGGCCAAATTTGCATGATGATTCGCAAACACAAATAACAGAATTGCATTCATCCTATAAAAAAGGTTGTTGGGCACATATATTTAGAAACAACATTGACTGATTTTATCGGTCATACTTGCAGCCAGCCAGGACAGACAGACAATCCTTCAGTAAACTGCTCAGAAGATCACACTCACCATCCCAACTCTGCATTTGCAGCCAGCCAAGTGAGCTCACAGCTTAGTGACTTTTATTTTGGTCTTCTTTTCCCCAAAGTCCACAGTGACATCATATCCATGTCACAGCTCTTAGGGCCACCAAACCTGTTGAGGTAAGTTAGGCAAGCTTTTAGCTAAAGAGAGGCCACCAGTTTCATCTGAGGGCCAGCAACTAAGCACATCTAAGAGCAGGACTCCAGCTCATGGCATTCTGGCGATACCTGATTTCTTAATAACACAGCAACATTACTAAG